TTCTAGTGATCAAAGTATTCACAGCAGAGTTTCTTTTGCGAAAAAAAACTAGAAAATCCGAAAAAATATCTCAGGGATTTCTAACTTGTTTCTAAAACTATTATGCATAAAAAAATTGGGTTCTATTTTTTGGTAATATCAATTCAACAAATTTCTTAGTCTCATAATGTTTTGATTTCGCTAAGCGATAATAAAAAAGTTCGGATGAACTTGTAGATTTCAAACCTCGCAACTTTGCAAAAGGAATAAGTTAATTGTCGTAGCTTAGTTTTAAGCTAATCAAAATCCTTCATAGATCTTCGTTTCAAATTTTTTGATACAGGCGGGGGATTCGAAAATGGAGGAGTCGGATAAATTGAGATATAGAATCGCTTTCTACCCTTGGTTGGTGTAGCATTTTTATAAATCTTGTTCTTAGATACTAAGCCAATTAGCGGTAACAAATTACTAACCTGTCAAATAATTCCGGGTCAGCGAACGTTCTGAATTACAATTGATTTCAAATCACTTCTAACTTCGGATTAATGAAAGCTAAATTGTATAACTTTTCCTTAGGGTTAGTTTTTCTAACGACGCACAAAAAATCAATAGCTTTAAATGCCTTATAAATGATCAAATGTGATTGTCAGGGCGCTAAACGTTTTTGATAAGGCCTCAAATGTTTTCAACCCTCATAATCCCGGGGGTATTTTTACATTGTAACTGAATTGAAATTCTCAGATAATAGAATCTATCTGTGAAAGCATTCTCAAAATGCTTTTAAATTTATTTCTACCCCGAACCAGAAAAAACAGCGCCAAAGGGCTTGGGTAAAATGGCCAGTTGAACAGCGCAATTTTTTTCGTCAGATGATTAAATGTTTTCACTATCAGGGAAAAGCTATTAATTTGAGAGGCATCCTTAAAAAACTGTTATTCACGAAGTGTAGATCTTTTGACAAGAAAGGTTGGTTTTCACATCTAATTAGCATCAAAAACCCTCGAATCAGATTAAATTTGGATTAATTAGCTTTACCAGGAAAAATTTAACCAGCAAATCTTGAGATTATAACAAGCCCTGAAAAATTTCTTCTATGTGTAGTAAAATTTTATATTTTTAGCTTAGAAATAAGAGATTTGTAGATTGTTCCAGTCGTTATCATAGCAAACGGAATTGGTTCAGACATTTTGATTGATTAAGTTGAGAAAAGGCTTCATTTCAAACCGATAAGTTAGACTAAAAAGACAGCAAGTTGACACAAGAGCCTTCAATCAAAGTTCGATTGCCTCGTGACAGCCTCGCCATAAGTTTGCACTCCAAAATATTTGGTTGATATAATCATTACGAGGCCAAACTATGCACTGGATAGGCGCACAATTTTGTGTCTGTACTATTCCTGGATTCCAGTCAAAATTCTTTAAACATGTTAGAATTTCGCCGGAACGATCAAAGATAAGGAAATAACAAAAAAAAAAACAGAACAAAGGGAGGGACCTTGTAGCGGAATAAAATACAACTCATAAAAAACACAGCTTGGCCTCGTAATGTGATTTTTTATTTTTTCAGGGTTCAAATTTTTCAGAGATATCCAGTAGCCCGGGTTGACCTCAATAGACAAAAAAGGCTAATCATGCAATTCCATAAACTAAATTTACGAAAGAAGACTGATCATACAAATTTCCTACATTTTGCTAAACTTGTGTCTACGAGTTTTGGAAGAGCTTTTTTCTTGTTTTGGCATGTGATTCGTCGTATCAACTTAATAAAAACGAAAAAACTTTTGTCGAAAATAGCTAATCATAAAATTTCCATATATGGAAATTGTATGACTAGCACTTAGTTGAAATCTTTTGCCAAAAGTAATCACCGTTGAAATCTTTTGCCAAAATCTGAAAATTTGTTACTTTCGTTATATTATTTGTTTAAGACAGAATTAATACATTTCAGGCCTTTTGCAATGTATTTACAAGGTGAGACGGTCAAACCTTTGGTTAATAAACTTTGGGTAACCTTGCTAATAATTACCCATTTACAACCCCCTCCCCTCGCTCCCCCAATTACCCCTATCCACATCCCCAAAATCATCATTTGCCTCCATCACACACATCCACGTTTGCCCCTCTCATACACATATTTTTTTGATCCCCATAAATTTACCCCTACCCCCATATCCACATGCCCCTGAAACGTGAAGGCGGTATATGGACGGGATAAACGGGTTGCGGAATGTAAACAAGAAGATTTAAGCGGCGGGGGTGTGGGGTTATGGGGGGGGTGTAAAATTTTGAGGGTGCTTGAAGTGCTTCATGGTACTTAAATTGCGTGAGGGTAAGTGGAACCTAAATAAAGATAAGATCAACAAAATAAATGAGAAATTCAAGTCTTCAGCACAGATTGCTGTGAAAATTTGATATCCGCTAAAAACATGTGTGAACAAAAAACAGCCTGTCTTAAAGAAAAAATCATCTATACAGGGCGATTTTTTTCTGCCTATTGCAAAAAGATTGATTGAATAAAAAGCCCAAATACTGTAAGGTTAAAAAAAGGAGATAAAAAACATATTTTGAAAACATCCGTTAATTGTCCAATGAACAAGAAAAAGTTGAGAATCTTCTAATCTGTCATCATGCCAAAGCAATGATACTTAAGTAAAATTACCTGTATCTTCATTAGGATATCGTTTGATGGTAATACACAATACGTAATTTAGAAAATTATTAATTTTTTTTTTAAAAAAAGCTGCTGTTTTCTATGAAGAATATTCTGAATGAAATCAAAAAATTTCTCAATTGGATTTCTTAAGGTAATTTATCGTTGCTCCGCCCCTTTTAATTATCTGATGAAAGACCATCTAATCGAGATCAAAAATTGCTTTTGTTTTTTCTGCTAATTATTTTTTGAATTTTGCTAGTCAAGCTTAAAAAAAGACCTCGAGGCCTTGCTAAAAAAAAGCATATGTGAGCAATTTGGAAAGATTACTTTTTCTTGATGAACACTTGTCCACCAAAGCTGAAGCAAGGCTGCCCATTTCGAGGCCATACACAAAAAAAATACTTCAGGTTATCTGAAAAACTTTGTATAAATTGATATTTTTAAGAAAATGAAACTGAAAAAAATATATATTTATTTTTCAAAAACTTCACTGAAATTTTCCAGCTTGTGCAATTTGAAACACTGATTTTTGTTTTTCCAGTGTCTTTCAATGATATGAAGGTAGGTTGCTGGTAACTACCCAGGTGATGTTCGTAGAAGAAAAAAGCTTATCATACAGTTTAATTTGTGAAGTCTATGGAAAAAATGCTTATCATAGAAAATTCATACAAAATTTAAAAAGTGTTTTAAAAATTTTTAATGAACATTTTTGATCTACTTGCCTCTTTTGAAGCTTTATGATCATTAAAAATTTTTTTAAAATTTTTTGTAGAAAATGCTTATCATACAATTTTCATAATTGGAAATTGTAATTTGTTAAAATTTGACATTTTGTGCTTATAACATAGTCCATGATGAGTTTTTCACCCAAAAAACCCAAAAATTACAATAAAGTGTTTTTTTTTGTAAACACGATCAACATATTTTGTTTCAATTGCTATGATAAAAAAAATTGTAAAAAACAGGCCTTTTTTCTCAACTACCCAAATTTTTAAACTACAAACTATCTAGCCATTTTCAAAATTTATTTTTTTTTGGTAAATAATTCTCTGTGAAAATTTTAAAATTAACTTTTATGGCTATAACCACCAAATGCAGTTTATCTGCGTGGTATTTGCCAGTTACACTCTGGGATTTCTTGTGACAAAAAATCCTTAGTTAGAGTTTCGGTTGAAACACAAATTTTATCTATTTTCATTTATGGAAAAAATGCTTCTCATAAACTTTCATAGTATGGAAAAATGTTTGTCATACAATTTCATATAATGGAAAAAAAAGCTTATTTTGCTATTTTCATCACTTAATTTTGCTCTATGATAATGTATGAAAGAGTTTGATAAGCATTTTTTCAATTATGAAAATTGTATGAGAAGCGTTTTTTGTCAGCCCGGGTAATGCTGTTTGTTTGTTGACAGAAGTAAAAACAATGGAAAACCTTTTAACAGTTTTCATATCAATTCAAACTTTAAAAAGTCACTTTTTTAAATGCTTTCTTAAAAAAGTTGTTTTGGTTTAAAAATTAGTGCGGCTTATTTTTGTCATCTGCCTCAATATCTTCTCAAAGATACTGTAAATAGAACTCTATGCAACTTCTGCTTTGCGGTATAACCTGAATTTCATTTGAACGAAAAAATGAGAAGACATCTCACTTTAAGAGCTTCCTTTATCGAGAACAAAAATAAAAATTGTATTTTGATGCTAATTTTTGGTCAAATAAAATTTTTTAATTTCTTTTATTGGATTTTAAAAGACTTTTTTGTCTGAAAATGTTATCAGGCATAACTAAATAAAATCCGATTTAGTGCCTCCAATTTTACGATGAATTAGAAGCGTCTAGGTTTGCAAATATACTTGGGTATAATTGTTATAAAAATAAAGTTATAATTGTATTTCAAATGCCGGTTATTTTCTCTTTTTACTGAATGCGGGCTACTTTCGGTATCAATCAATAGGCAAGCTCACTTGATTTAAACATAAAATCCCGGCAGTTGTACTTTAAACGCCAGTTTAACTGTCGAACTCTAAACTAAGGAATATTCAAAACTCGAACGTAATTTTTTGACGGAACATTTTTTGGAATTTTTCAGATATATTTGATTTTCAAATCCATGAAAAACTGTTTAAAAAATTGATCATAATTGAAATAAAGTGGTTACGACGTACTTTTTGATGTCAAAATAGCTCATTATTGTTTTTAACCTAGAAATCTCAACGCTGTTTGTGGCAGTTTTAAAAAAAATAATTCAAAAATAAAAAAACTCTCCGTTTGCAGTGATCAAAAAATAAATCTGACAAATCAAAAATACGCAGTTGAAAAATATCAGAGAAGTTTTTAATCGAGTATCAACGATACTGGAGTTTGTACTCACGTGAACGACAGTGATTGCTTTTAACCATGATTCATTCCAGACAGACAAGGCTGCAAATTCGAGTACAACTCAGCACAAAATTGAGACCTGAAACCAAAGCTCTCTTTGATATTAATAGTTTTGTTTAATCAAGAGATTTTTTCTAAGCTTTTATCAAATTATTTTAAGAAAAAAAAATTTCAACATTGCATCAGGTTTTTTGTTTGAAAAAATTCACTCCAAAGACAAATTAGCACACCTTTTTTTGTTGATTTTTTACGCTTAGTAAAAATGAAATTGCCCGTATAGTAGAATGATCCTACTTCGTCTAGTTACCTGGTAAATTGTAACCATTGAAAATTCTTCCCCCTATTTTTTTCTATAACGAATCATCCCCTAGTTTTTTTTTGGAATGGGGATTGCTTGATCTTTTGGTTACAAATAAATTTTTTCAGCCCTTTTTATTTCAGCATTGTTTATGCAGACCTAACGACTCTAATTTACGTTTAGTTTTAGGAGAGAGACAGATCAAATGGGCAGTTTTTTGTTAAGTTGATTAAAAAAAACAAATTCTATGAAAAATTGAAGTTAAAAACTCACTTGAAGAAGAAATCAATACTTAACGAAGTCTGTATTTGATGATGTTTATTCCAACAAGATGCCAATTTTTAATACTTTTGCGACCAAACCTGCTGAAATAGTGCAAATCTGTTTTTTAATCTTGACACAATAATCTAATATTTGAATCTTGAAATATTACAACCAATAATTTGATGCTCATTTTGCTCTAATTTTAACCAATTGAACATCTGATCTCACCTACTTCTATAAAAAAAAAATAACCGTCAGATTAGCAGTGCCAGAGCTAACCTAGAAAAAAAAGAACCACAATACTTTTCTCGTTCCACAAAAGAACCACAAAAGAAATACCTCGTTCCTAGGATAAGTATTTAAAAGCTGTAATAAGTTTGAACCATAATATACGCTCTGAAAGCTGTGTGCGTAGTTTTCTCAATCCAACTTTAACCTGCCTTACATTTGAGCAAAATTATTCACCGAACACAGGGATAGGATAGGCTATGTTTTATGAAAAATGGCCGGCCTAAACTGCTGACCTATACGAGTTGGACATATAGTGCAATCACATCTCATCTCCTTGTGATAAATTGGTAAAAAAAGTTTCTGCCAATAATATTCGAAACGGGACAGTCATTTTAAATCATTTTTTGTTCCGACGACAAAAATAAACGTATCGTAAACAAAACTAACGGAAAATTTGTGCTGGGATGGTTTTTTCTGCAGAAAACTCGACTTTTCAACTTGCCATTTTTGACGGTTTTTTAAAAAGCATTCAAAATGTTTTATTGTCCAGAACTCAAATATGAAAAAAATATACTTCACCTGTGATTATTTTTCGAAAAATTAAGGTTGTTTTATTATTGCCATTTTAGCCAATTTGTGATAATTCTGGCGCGCTATTTTTTGCGCTATCAACGCGTAATCCGAGATTGAATCCGTCCTAAAAATTGTTTCAAAATGGTTGAAGGAAAACTATTTGCATAATTGAATTCTTAGTAGGAGCGAAATCTATCATTTTGTACCTTGAATGGCATGTTTGGGGATGAATTTCACTAAAAAACTCAAGTTCAAATTTGTTTTGTTCCATGTTATTACATTGAGACCTGTAAAGGCAGTCGTCGGAACATTCACAGCTTCGCCCTGATACGAGCAGACTTGTTTGTTTTGAATTTTGTAATGTTTTTTTTTTCAAATCTTTGAAACTTTTTAATTCCGTTAATATAGCATTTGCATTTTAAAGAATTTTGACAATTCATTCAATTGATTTTACTTTTCATTTCTAATTTAGTCTACATAAATCTCTTTTTGATCAACAAATAATTGATAAATTTGTGAATTACTTTGATTAAATAGTTTTTCTTTGTTTCATCTTATTTTTCTTCATCAATTACATATTTTTAGATGAATATCTAAAACTAATGTGTCTATCGGTTTGTATTTCCGGATCGACCAAAATGTGAAACCATACGTTTCACCATAAATGATCCCCTGAATTGTCGAGGCGGATTTTCAATACATGAAACAGTTAGAAAAACACTTTTCCTTAGAGGGTCTGCGAGTTAATTGTATTTTTTATATCATGAACACATCTTGGAATGAGGTTAAAAAATGATACTAGTTGGTATGTTTGTTTGCCAAGAGGGGTTATTCATATAATTTCTATAGAACAGTATAAAATTCCCCAAAAAATTTCTACAAAAAGTCTCGGCAAAAGGTTCCTGTCACATCTGTCACATTGAGCACCCGCATCCAATTTCAAGCGTTAATAATCGATTATAATATGATTTTAGTACCAGTCTTACAAAAATTGAGAAAAAAACTGTTTTTAATCAATTACTAATCGAATATAATCTCCTTTTTTGCGATCTAATGTAATAATTTATAAAATATTATTACTAGAAGAACTATAATTCACCTAACGCGGGATTTTTTCAACTAATTTGAAGGCATCTCTATGAAATTTTTGTTTTGTGGTAAAACTTTGTGTTCAGATGAACCAAAGAAAGACAAGACATCTCATTTTTAGCGCCTATAATTATTTATAAATTTGATGGAATTACTATTATAATTGTAATTAAATGGATTATTTTCTCTTTTCACTGACTGCTGGCACTGAATCAGTGACGAAAATTGATTGCTTCAATGGGGTATAAAAAAGTCAATATCTTCAATGGGGTATAAAAAATTTTTGACGAAAACTTGTATTTCGATTGGCGAAAATTGACTAATTAAAAAAACCACAATGAGCAAAAATATACTGTTTTCTTCGAAAGTCTGAACAATAATGCTTATTGATTGTTGACTCTCAACCATGTGGTCAATGATTAACCTCTCGATTTGTTGACTAAAATTAAAAATTAAGATTCAGTTCATAAACAGTTTTTGTGAGTTTTTGAACGAGAGAAAACTGACAATTATGACACTAGTTAAACTCAATTATATTTAAAAGCTGAATTACTGCTTTGAATGGAAAATTGAATTTCTCACTCTTTTCAATTTTGGGCCGGCGCCAATTCAGTTATTTCCGCCGCGTTCGGTTTTCTATGGAATTGCGGTGCCACGTTTATACGGCCCCACGTTTAATTTTCAAGGAGTCGTGAATTCTGACTTGTATGACTTGTATGGAACCAAAAATAGTGCCACGTATGGTTTCTGAGAAAGCTGGCAAATTAATTATAAGACGTAATGTTGATTTTTTTAGTGCATTGTAACAAAAAAGTGACTGAGGTTCTCTTCTTAATTGTTTTGGCTATAAAATAATGGTGCAGCCTAGTTTTGCAAAACCCCCAAAATACAAATACGTTTTTGTCCCAATTCTGAAAGGTCTTTATATATTTGCTTTTACTTCTAATGCTTTTTGTATAAAAACGAATAAACTGGAAACCAACCAAAACAAGGTGGTAATTTTTTTCATGAAAAAGATTAACGTACCAGTGAGTTGAAGGACCATAAATCTTGAACCGATCCGAGGCTGGTTTTTTCAAGCCATTGGAAGATCTGAATTTTCTACCGGATTTTTACAAACTTAATTAATGTTTTTTCTGTTGGTCGAATAGATTCAGTGACAGGCAACCCACATACTATTTTGCTAAGAAAATAATTTTAATAATCTTTTTCAAAATTGTTTTGAGTAGCCTCAGTTTTTTCACTCTCAAAAATTGTTTTATATTCATTAAAAAAAACGAAATTGTCAAAGTAAGCTAGCAAATGAAAATTTGAAGAAGCAAAATTTAATTGCAAAGAACGCCAAAGTAGAAAATAGAAAAATCTCTCAGGGGTAATTTTTGATGTGGTCATGATGAAATAGCGAAGCTAAAAAAATTTTAAAAAATCCGCTTTTGTATATAAATAGATATGAAGATTTTTAAAACGTTGATAGAAAGTAACTCTCAATTTCGGTTGAAACTAGAATTGGATCAAAATATAGCTTTAACTTGTGAAAATGATCAATTTTCAATGATGACAGGCAAAAAGTTATTCTCAGGCTTGGGTTTCGGACATTGAGTCATATTTTTCCAGTTTAAAAAGGAGAACGAATGTGGCTATTTTTTCCGATTTATCCTTCTTTATTTTCTCAAGATATCAACTTTAGATTTTCCAAATGTTTGAAAAATGGTTACAAATGCTTTTTTGATCTGGTAATAAAATGAATAATCAAATCACGCACCCGCTTTGTTAAGTTCAAAGTCACATCATATGCATTTTTTAACCTGTCAGTTAGGTCAAACTGTTTTGCTAAAATAGATTAATTGATTTCTGAACTCAGTTTAGAGTATGAATCTCGCCTTATTAGAAACTTATATTTTATGTCTATGTCCAAACTGTCTTTTTTCAGCGAAATTGGCATTTTCGAAGCTTTTTTCCTTTTAAAAACTAACCTCAACTAGAAAATATGTTTTTTAATATTTTGAAATCCTCAATTTATGACTTCAGAATTTTTCAGATAAATAAAGAATTTCGACAAAACTTCCTATCTAATTCATCCCGAATAGTTAAAAAGACAGCTAAAAATCACATCTATCTAACTCTAATTTTTTTTGCGATCAACACTAATGCAGCATAATTCTTGATTGCATTGCAAAAAAATCAGATGGAGTAATCAGTAAGTTATGCTTCTGATTGGCAACCATAGTTCGATCTTTTTTCAGATAAAAACAAGAAGGTATAGCCCATTTTCAATGATATCGATGTTAAGTGTTTCTAATCAACAAAAATTGAAACTTTTTTCAAAAAATTGAATTCGAACGACAGCTCCTTTATTCCTTTTTTGGTCAATCTACATTTTGAAACTAGTTTAAAACTTTTTGTGGTTTGCTGCAATTCAAAAATGCAGTTCAACAAATTTTTGTGAGTTTGTTTCAATTAGTAGTCAAGTTTTTTTTCGATTACAGTCTTCATAGTGAGCCGGACAGAATAACCAAAAAGTTTAAAATTTGTTAAAGAAAACAAAAATGATAAAGTGAAGTGAAGAGTTTAAACACTCTAGCAGGTAATTTTTGCTTGGGGGTAAAAAAAGAAAGAGCGGACAT